GCAGCAAATTGAAGTAAGGCTGATTGGTCTGCAGTTGTTTGCTAAGACCTTGCTGCCGCCTTTATAAAATGGCGTGATCCTTGCGGATTTCCAATCTGCGGGCAAGTAGCCTGCTTCGAACGAAGCTTGGAAGAGCATGGGCAGCGGTTTAGATAGTTCTCCAGCAAGCTACTTCGGCATTTTGGGCGGTATGTCATCCGGTCCAGGTGATTTAGACCCATTCAGCGTCAACAGTTCTTTGCGAACAATAGCATCGGCGAAAGAGACATGCCCGATCGTTGGTCCGTCCACTATGTCGCAGTCGGGAGGAAGAAACGCGCTTTCCTTCGTAAAGATGGACTTAAAAAATATGAAAGGTGCTCTGCCTTTTCTCCGTCTTCACAGAGTTCTAGGTCGTCACTAGCTTTTAATAACGGGATTGGGTCTCTGTTTCGTGTGCTTCTTATATAAGCATAGACTAACTCAGAATTTTCTGTCGCTCGATTCACTAAATCTTTCTCGAAAGTACGCGGCGTCCCAGGGATTAGCCTCTTAACTAGGTTCCTCTGTGCCTTGTATGCATTCATCGACACAGAACTCCTATCCAGGAGGAATTTCCTCCATAACCTGCGCTTTTTATTCCACTTTTTTTAAAGCTTGTGTCAGCCACGGGGGTCTGCTGTTCAGTTTCTTCCGTGAAATAGGACAGTGGTCTCTAAGAAGAACTTGCAATAACTCACTAAACCAGTACCAATCCTTGAATATGTCACCGGAAAAAGCTGATTCCCAGTTTATGGTGTTTAGTTCAGCTTTCATTTGGTCAAAGTCACCGCGCCAAATGTTCCTTCTAACCCTGGTGGATTGTTCTGGCAGAGAAAAAATTGAGTACTCCCACAACAGTACTACGTGGTCGCTTCGACCTAGGGGAGGTAGACATTGCGCCTCATCAATGCTGTCCAGTGACTTCGTAAGGAGCAGATCCAGACGCTTTGACTGTTGTCCTTCGCGCACCCTCGTCGTGTCTGACAGTGTCCAGCGTCCGCCCCACAGCAAGACGGAGCAGGCAGGGTGACTCGCGTGTTGATAAGTTTATAGTGGATGTAGGCTTGCGCAGCATCTGCCGCACCTATCTCCACCTTAATCCGGTGTCAAGACATAGTCAAAAAGGGAGGGCGCAGGTGGCTGACGCGGCCGGACCTGCACCTAGACGTGCCACCACATCCCTTTGTCCGCAACAAAAACCTGAACAGGATTTTAACCAACAACAAAAGCATCAAAACGGGTTAGAAGTTCGAAGATTACTGGGCAGCCATGCTCACGACCTGCCTACCCAGCGGGAGCGCAAGTGTTTCGATCGGCAGGGAACCAAGTGTCAGAGAACTGCATTAAAAAGCAGCCGAGAACTGCACTTGCCACATGCTAGGGAAATGACAAATGGGTGCTTATGATGGGTGATGGTGTTGTGAGGTTCAGGTGCTGGTGGGGGAAGGTGTGAGGATGTGGTGTGGCCGGCGGTTGTCTATCGCAGGTTTTCTTGAATGCGCATCTGGCCTAATAGGCCCGTGCGGGGACAGTGAGGGAAGTTGAGGCGGATGCGGCGAGCGCATGTTTGTGCCTCAGGCACTGGTTCGCCAGTCTCTGTGCGATGGATTCGCAAGTGACCGACCAGGCCGATGCATCAGGTGAATGTACGGGGACAGTGTGGGCAGGATAGATCGGGAGTGTTAGAGTCAGTTTCGATGGCGGTTATGGTGGTGGAGCTTCTGGCGGTGGGTGCGCTGGGCGACGGGGTGTGGTTTGGGCTAGGCATGGTGGATGTGTCAGGTGTGCGAGGTGTATTGAGACTGCGGCGAATTCAGCCGTCATGAATACATATGTGACCGAATAGGCTCATGCGGCGAGTGAATGTGCGAGCGCGGTGGAGGCGGATGCGGCGGGTGTGGGTGTTCCAGACAGTAGTTCACCAGTCTCTGTGCGATGGGTACACAAATGACCGACCAGGCCGATGTGCGATCGCAGTGAGGACAGGTATTAACCTATTCCACATCGCTGAAGGTGCGGATGTTGGTGATTGAAGTTGACGGGTCGTCGGACGTCGTCCCATCGGTGGGGGGAGTGCGTGAGGTCATTGTGGCGGTAGTAGTGGTGGCTGTGGTTGGGTAGGATGGATGGCGGAGGGGCGGCGACGATATTCACTGTCCTCCAGTTCGGCCGCTCCGGGGTTAGGTTTTTCTTGTTGGCCGGGTTGATCTGCAGGCGTTCCAAGGAAGTCTTCAGAGTGTCTTTGTATCGCCGGATTTGGCCTCCTTGTTGGTGGGAACCCCTGGCGACATCTCCATAGAAGAGTCGTTTGGGTATCCGCTCGTCGTCCATCCGCATGAGGTGGCCGCTCCAGCGCAGTAACAGATGTCTCGGCACGGCGTGGATGCAGATTTCTGTCCGTTAAAGTACGTCCGTATCCGGGATCCGGTCCTGCCACCTCAGCTTTAGTATCCGCCGAAGTGGTTGAGCCTCCGCCTCTGCTTTTTGTACACCGTCCAGGTCTCTGCTCCATACAGGATGACCGCCTTATACATCTTCAGTGTGGTATTGTGGTGAAGACTGTGACTCTTCCAGGCGGTGTTATGCAGGCGGCCGAAGGCTTGGCTGGCCTTGGAAATACATCGGGCCACTTCATCGTCGATTTAGGTCGT